CGTGCTTGGTCGTCGCTGTGGAGGCGGGACCTGAGCTCGGGAAACCCGACCCCACCTGAGACAACTGGTGCTGTAATGACAGATGAGGAGGCAAAATTGTCTCAGTCCTCAGTTCTCCCTCGGAGTCATCCACTCTGCCGAGTACAGCACCCCATGAGCACTCAGACTCCCCAATGGAAGATGATGATGGAGACGCCGCCTTGTCAGATGGCGAGGGTGATTGCTTCAGCAATCGTCCTGCCTCCTCCAATCCAAAAAGCTGAGAGGATCAAACAGGGAAGCAGCCACTTGGCAGCATACCAGAACATGGGCAACAGCCGGTCACGCTAGAGGACTTGGCCGATATGAATGACCAGATGCAAGAAGCGTCACCGAGCAGACACTCCATCTGACCACCCGAGTGCTACTATATTCGAGCTCACTCAAGTGGTGTCCTTAGACATTGCTTTGAGTTTCGTTTTCCTTATCAATCTTTGAAGGGGGAGTCCTTAGACATTACCTTCAGTTTTGGCCCTCTTCCCTGCCTTGTGGTTTGTTAATTTCGTCATGTCATCTAAGGAAGTCTTTTGCACTTCTCAGTTTATCTACAACGATATTCTTGAGTCCTTTGAGGCAAAGGGAATTTTTGCGCAGCTTCATGGACCTTCTTTAGCTGTCTCACCACGAATCTTTTTTCTTTGTCGATTTCCCAGCATGGTCAACACAGAACGTTTCGGCAGCAACTTTTTCGTAGTTGGTGAAGATGAGTTTAAGAACATCTATGCTGCTGTCTCTGGCAAGCACCCAGTTGATATCATCATCTATGGAATACAGAGCCGTTTGCAAGATAACATTTTGTGCCCTTTTTTGTCTTGATAAGATGTCTTAACAAAATCTTGGCATGCGAGTGTTGAGTAAAGCAGTGGGCTTGAAGCCCTGTGCGTCAAGCTCCTCTATGCCAAGGCCCCTTGGGGCCATTCATTCGCCACCAGTGGGCTCCAAGCCCTTCATGTCAAGATCCCTGATGTCAAGGCCCTTGAGGCCATTCATTCGCCACCAGTGGGTCACAGCCCCTATAACGTCAAGGTCTCTTATGTCAAGGCCCGTGAGGCCATTCATTCGATGCGGCCTTTCTTTCGCCAGTGGGCTCAAAGCCCTTCACGTCAAGGCCCTTGAGGCCATTCGCCAGTGGGCTTAAAGCCCTTCACGTGCCAAGGCCCTTGAGGCCATTCATTCGCCACCAGTGGGCTCAAAGTCCTTCACGTCAAGTACCCTCATGCCCAGGCCCTTGAGGCCATTCATTCGCCACCAGCGGGCTCAAAGCCCTTCACGTCTAAATCCCTCATGTCAAGGCCCTTGAGAGGCCATTCATTCGCCACCAGTGGGCTTAAAGCCCTTCACGTCAAGGACCTTCATGCCAAGGCCCTTGAGGCCAGTCATTCGCCACCAGTGGGCT